CAGCCACCTGACTTGCGTTCTTGGGGTGCGTCCCGCTTCTTAGAAGGTCGTTCTTTCTACCCCGTCTGGCTTGGGCAGTGGTGTGGTGCATGCAGGGTGCGTGCACATTGTCAGCATTGCACAGACAGATGGACTGACCCTGCCAGAGGGCGAGGGGACCAGACCCTGACTCGCCGTACACCAAGCCCATCCCCGGGCTCCTTGTCCGACAGGACACGGGCGGCTGGCGGCCCAGCCAAGTGCTTTGTAAGAAGCGCATTCAGCGCAGACACATAGACGCAGCGCGGCATGGACCGGGTGGTGGAGAAGTGCCCGATGCCTGGGGTGGGGTGGCTGCCGGGCTGGGTCCTTGCACGTTGCCCCCTCCCTGCCACGCTGCACTGACCGGTCTGTCCCCTGTGGCTGCTGGACAGCTGGCCTGGACCCACCCCCTGGGGCTCACCACAGCACACACTGTGGAGCAGGGATGGTGGGGCCCACGTGGCCCTCGGGCTGGGGCTGTCCTTGGCGCTTAGACGGAGCAACTGCTTTGCGTGGACGCTGAGGCCGGCACGTGGACTCTGCAGTCGTGGGTGCTCAGGGCTTGTCTGCAGCCCTGGAGAGACTCGAGGCAGCAGCCCAGGCACAGGGCCTGTGTGGAGGGGCTGCCGCCCGCAGCCCGCAGCCCGGCCCCGCTCCCCACCGCTCTCCAGCACGGAGCGGCCGCCAGCCAGAAAGGCAGAAGGACAGCGGGGCCAGCTGTTCTCGCGGTGATACGGGTTCGGTTACAGCCGCCGCCAAAGACGCAATTCAAAAATTTAATTTTCCAGGCACGGCCAGTGTATTGGGGTTTTTGATTTTTTTTGGTTTGTGGAATTGAGAGGCAAATGTTAGTTTTAAGAAGTGTGTTTGCTGTGAACAGCGTCCCCAGTGAGGAGGGACCACAGGACGATGTGGGGCGGCAAGTGCGCCTGCTGGGCCGGGGCCTGGCCAGGGGGCGCACGTGGGACCAGGGACTCTCCAGGGCGGCTGTGAGGATTGTGCCATGGGCTTTGGGCCTTGCAGCACTGGCCAGTGGGGAGTCCGCCCGCTGGACTGGACACAACCGTGGCGGCGGCTCAGGGCCGCAGGAGGGAGCTGGATGCTCCGCCCAGCTGGAAGCAAGCGCAGGGGTGCCTGGTGTGGCCTGGACCGGAGGCGCCCGCTGCCCCGTGGAGGAGGCCGGGAGGCTGCGGGAGCCCCAGGCACAGGCGTGAGTGTGACCTCAGCCGGTGCGCGGTGTGGCCACAGCGAGTCTGCGGGCCCAGCCCCGAGGGTCCGGCAGAGCCTGTCCCTTTTGTCATTGATTTGGGCTGAACACAGTCGATCTGCCTGACGTAGCAGAGGCTGCATCGAACCCCCCGGCAACTGCTGAGCTTCTGAGGGTGAAGTTCAGATAAATGGGCTTGATCCCAGCCAACATCCCCTCGGGCCAGTGGCGTCAGGGGCTGCCCAGCAGCCTTGTGTGGAGACCCCACACAAGGATGGGCCGTGGATGGGCCATGGATGGGCCGTGGATGGGCCGTGGCCACAGACACTGCCGGCAAGCCCGGCCTCTCCTGGTCCCGACCACGCCGCCAGCGGAGGGTCCACTCTCCCCATGCCCCGAGGCAGGCAGACGATTAATGAGCCAATATTTGTGAAGTGCTGTGACGACAAAAGTGCCAGCGATTATTATTACTAATAAACCATTTTTCTCCGGTGTGATTTTGGACAGCAGCCATTAAAAACCCATTACTGTGTTTAGCAGTGAAACAATCTGCTCTGCGGTGTTTACTGTCCCCATCACCGCCGGGGGGCCGGGACCCCCGCCCAGGACCCCCGCCCAGGACAGCAGCTCCAGAACCTGCCCGTGGGACTTCGCTTGTCTTTGCAGTGGAGTGAAAGGGCCCGTACTCTGTGAGGGGCTGCTGGGGGGCTGCTGGGGGGCCACTGGGAGGCTGCTGGGGGTCTCACGGCGTCTGCCTTTGCAGGGCGCCCTGCACAGCTGCGAGTCTCCAGCAGCTCCTCAGCCCGGGGCTGCTGGGGGCGGCCGGTCACTGTCATGTCGGAGGCTGTGGGGCATCTTTCTCCTGGCGCTTTCTAAATCCCCCCCTACTCTGGATGCCCTCAGCAGTTTATTCTGCACCCCCAGATCAGTGTTCTCTGGTTCCTGACGACTAATTTAATGGTGGCTTCGACCACATGCGTAGCAGGCACCGAGACTCTTATCCTTAAGTGGGTAAAAATGCTCTTCTCGGGTGATGGACGCCTCAGAGCCCACGGATCTCGCGGACGCTCTCCCTGGAGCGCTCGGTGCCCCCTGGGGGACGGGACCCAGCGCTCTGGCCTCTGCGGCCACACAGGGACATTGATTTTTGCATCGGCCGCACGTGCTGTTTCTAAGGAGACTCGGCTTTGTATGGGGGACAGTCACTTTTTATTAATCATAATTTCCGGCAACATGTTTTATGCCTGATACAATTTATTAAAAGTCTTCCCTAATCTTCTTCCCCAATTGTTATGTCCTTCAGAAACCTCATTAACTTTGAGCGCTGATGTGTAAAAAATGACAGGACGAAATGTTCCCACAGCGCCCGGCCAGCACCTTGTCCTGGCGACACCGAGAGTCGCCCCAGTCTCTCTGGAGCACAGGCTCGCAGGGAGCCACGCGCGCAGGACATGCCAGAGAACGTTGCGTTTCTCAAGGCAAAATGACGAGACTGTCCTGGGGGGTTCACTGCTCGGAACCGGGCCCGCTTTCCAGACTCGGTGGGTCTCCACGGCCCAGAATTTCCCGAACTGGTCTTGGATGTGGGAGGATTAGGGCTGGAGTCTCCCAGGTGATCAGTGCAGCCTCAGGCCCCCCACCCCCGGGGGCTCCAACACCCCTCCGGATGTCAGCGCGGCCCTGAAAACTGGCCAGACTGTGCTCTGCTACCTTCTGTGCGGCCGGGGATGCAGGAACCGTGTCCACGCCTGCAGAGTGGACAGCAGCCTTTTCTCCGCTCTCCTCTGGCCTTTCAAGCCTGCCTCTGCCTCGGCCCTCCACCTCCCCCCAATACCACCTGCTGAGAGGCACAATCTTCCCTCCTCGGGCGCGCCCTGTTCTCGCCAAGGGAGGCTGGCGCCCCTCTTCCCTGCTCCCTCTGTTTTGCTTTGCTTCCCTGCATCCTCCCACCCCCTGGTCTCCACGCCGCCCCCCAGTCCCCCAGTCCCTGTGCTGCAGGCACCAGGCAGGAGCTGCATGGGGCGTGCCTGGCCAGGAGCTGGGTGGGCTGGCCGCGGGGGAAGCCCCTGGGTGCTTCCCGCTGACCCAGAGATCACAGAGTCCTGCTCTGATGGACCAGAGGGCGCTGCTGTCCCCGGTGGGGCACCCAGTGTGCGCTGCGAGGGATGGATCCTGCCTTCTGAGCTCACGCTGGCCTGGGACAGGTGCCGCTGTGGCTCCCGCTGGCTTTTGTCATAATAAACAGGCTTGGATGGGAGCAAAGGCTTAAAACACCCAGGGGAGAAGCCCCTGCAGAGCTGTTCCCTGGGGGTGATGGGGACCCTGCTCCTGCCCAGGAAGGCCCAGGAAGGCCCAGGAAGGCCCAGGAAGGCCGGGTCCTCCCATCTGCCCCTGGCACTGAGTGCAGCCTGTGGGTTTTCACCTAGAAATTGGCTGTGACATGGCTGGAAAGGGGCTGGAGCAGGACTCAGCAGCTGGGGTCGACACCTGACCCCCGTGTGTGAACTCGAGGTGTCACCAGCCTTTGAGTTGGCCCAGTAGAGCCGCTCCGGAGGGCTCGCGAGGGCTGGGGACAGGCCTCGCCCACTGTCACGTGTGCCGTGCCATCTCAGGCGGTCTGCAATGTTGCCAGCTCCCGTTCTTGTTTACGTTGACCGTGTCTCGGGACGCTCTGGTGACCCACGTAAGGGGCGGCTTTTCCCTGTGAGACCAGTCGTCAAGCCCTTTGTCTGCGTCTTTTTGGCCTTTCCTTTTTGTGTTTCTTAAGTTTATTGACTTTTTATCGAAGTGATATCGGGACCCCGTCAGGTGTGGCCCCACGGGGCCCCCAGTGCTCACATGGTCCGTGTGCGCAAAGTGATGAGGGCCCTAGGGTGCGGCCATCATTGCACTGTGGACACGCGTGTCCGATCTCTGCCGAGGACTGCCCCTCTCCAGAGTCAGGCGTGGCTCTCTGACTGGACCCCCCTGCCAGCTGTGGTCACCCGCGGGCCCGAGCTGCCCCCTGAACAGTGGGTTAGGTTTTTGGTTTGTATTTACTGATTCCGCCTTCTGCGCCCTCACGCTCCCTGGAGGAGCGGATTAGTGTGGATGGGAGAGCTGAGGCGCTTCCCCGACGTTCATAAGAGCACATGCCCTCGTGACTCCCCTGGCTGAGGCAGGATGCGCGGCCCTTGGCCTCCCCTCTCCTCCTGCATCGCGGGCACCGCCTGCCCGCACCCTCCTCAGCCTGGGGCCTACCGACTGCTGCGGACGCGCAATTCACAGCACGGAGCAGGCCTGGCCCAGCGAGCTGAGCCTCAAGTCCGCAAAGCAGGATTGCGTCGGCTCCAGTTTCCCGTAGTGCCGAGTGCCCGTCACAGGCAGAGGGCCCATGCGTGACTGTCCACTGAGGACGGAGGTTGGCACGCACCTGTGTCCCAGCCTCCCTGCTGCGTCAGCTGGCCTGGCAGCCTGCCCACATCCACCGTGGACTGAGTGTGAGCGCCCTGCCCGGCGTGCGTGGAAGCCAAAGTCATGGCGCTGTGTGAGAGGAGAGAGGAGCTAGACGGGCAGCCTGGTGGGGGTCAGGAGCCCACTCACTCTCAGCCGCCTGCTGGCTGGGGAAGGAAATGAGGCGATGTGGTTTGGGGAGCGGGGAGAACAAGGGCACTGGCTAAGGACAGAGCAGCATGGGCTTGGCTAAGCTCGCTGGCTGGTCGCGGGCGGTTGGCACGCGGAGGATGAAGGCCGTTGTCCAGGTCACTGAACAGTGTTTCAAGCATCTGTTGGGGCCGGCCAGGCCTCACCCCCTGCATCTGCAGCCTCCTGGCTCCAGCTGACCTTGCAGCTCTGCTCAAGGTCAGCCCCTCTGCTTGTTCCGCTGGCGATTCGGCAAATACACGGCCTTGGGGACTGCAGAGCCAGAGAGAAAGTTGGGTAAGTTGGCCTTTTTTCTCTTTTGTGATGCAGAGTTTGAGAGCAATTCAACCATTTGGCCTCAGTTACAAAGTGATTTGATCAACTGTAGTGCAAGAGCCTTTCCCGACATAAATAACTTAGATCACAAATAAAAGCCACGTGGACCTCACCAGGATTTTCAGAGTTGCTGCTGTGAGTGTGTGAAGAGCATTTTCACCTCCTGGGGAGACAACCTCTGGTTTCATTGGGAAGTAATACAGAATCGGGCGAGGTCCTGCTTGGGATCTGAGGAGTGTCTCCATGATTCACTCTTATAGCAGCGACGCAGCTCATGCGCAGTTCCCTGGGGCACTCACAGTGCTGGGGGATAGGGGAGCCCCTGCCATGGCCCCCCAGGTGACTTGCGGGTGGTGGGTCCGGACACCCACCCTGGAGGGGCCTTCCAAGTGCTGTGATTTGGAAGCAGGGGCTGCCCGGGCGTGGCATCCCCTCACCCCAGGTCTGTGTGGTGCGGCTCCCAGTGCCTCCTCGGAGCTCCTGAAGTACCCCTGTGCCCACGCGTCCCTGAGGTCCAGGGGGCCGAGGAGGTCTCCACTTCCCTGGCAGAGGCGCCACAGCACACGCCGGCCCTGGCTTTGCAGCGGTTGCTCTCGGGCCCAGCGTGAGGCCAGGCCCCAGCCCCAGGGCCCGCACGGCCCTCGCTCACTGCTGCTGGAAGCTGACTCGGCTGGGCTGGCTGTGTCATGCAGGTCGTTCTGATGTCTTGTGGGCACACGCGACTCAGGCGGGGCCACTGCACACATCCTGCGCTGACCCTGAGACGGGACGCCGAGTGAGAGGACAGGCGGGTCGTGCCTACTGGGCCTGGGACACTCTGGTGCTGGTCCTGGTGTGAGGGCGACCCCCAGGGTGCTGGGGGCACTGGGGGTGCTGGGGCTCCCGCCAGGGGCCTTGCTTCCTGCACTGGGGGGGGGGGTGGGGCTCAGAGGCAGCACTGGCTGCTTTCTGATGGTGGCTTTGGAGCCAAGCCAGAGATGTCCCAGGAGGCACCTCGCTGGGCCAGGCACGTGGCTGGGGGTGGGTCCCCCACCGGGTTCCCCGCAAGTGCGCCCCATGCTCACCTCGGCCTGGGTGGCGGTGTGTGGGAGGGTCGCAAGCTCAGCTAACCACAAGTGGCTCTTACGAAAAACAGCTCAAGGACGCCCGCCAAGCGGACATTCCTGCAGCTGGTCTGTTGCAAAACACGAGGTCTGCGAGCCGAGGCTTGTCAGGAGCTCCTGTGAGGTGAAGCGCAGGGCGCTGTGCCTGCAGGCCTGCGTGTGGGCCGCTGCTCCAGCGACTCAGGCACCAGGAGCCGGGTCTGAGGCACCCGGGGGGGGGGGGGGGGGCTCGGGTGCTGCATAGCCCAGGGCGCTTGCTGCTGGGAGCTGGGCCGGATGGTGGGAGGAAAATTGAAGTCAACTTTTCTACAGTGGAAAGGGGTAAAAATTACTCTAAGGTCATTTCCCAGACAGAAATCACCTCTAAAATGACGACTTTCATCCCCCTTAGGTGTCACAAAGAGCCAGCCAGGATGGACACGAGGCTGCAGCCTGGTCAGTCAGCGCAGCCGGGGTGGCCGGGGAGGCCGGGGAGGGAGGCTGTGAGCGCCTACTCCCTCTGCCCGCGCCCGCGCCCACACTGCGGGAGGGGCCGGGGCTGCGCCGGCCACCGTAGACTCAGGTGGCTTTGTCCAGTCCCACTGAGACGGGCTTCCTCTGACAGCGCAAAAGCTCGTAGCCAGACGTTCTTCCTGCCAGCTGGCCTGTCCACATCTTTGACCGTCGCGTCCTGATGCATTTATCCGTCTGCCATGGGGTGTGAGCTTCGCAGTGGGGTGGGGTGGGCTGTGTCTTTGCAGGCCTGCAGGTCCGGGGAGCAAACCCCTGACCCTGTGTGTCTGAGCAACTCCACCGCGGGCCAACACTGGGGAGACGCGACCGGGTCCCCTGCGGGAGTCAGCCCTGCTCCTGTGCACGGTGCCTGCTGCGTTGTCGGCAGGCCACACCCCGGGTGCTGCGGGCAGCTCTGCATCTGGCATGGGGGCCGCTGTCCTGCCGCGGGGGCTGGCGAGACTGTGCTGCCGGTGCTCCAGGCCCTGGTCTAGCCATGGTATTGTTGGCTCAGTGCGGCCATTTTAGCTTTTAAAGCCAAAGTATTTCTAGTGACAAAGGGTCCCTGCTCAGTGCCTCGCGGGGAGCACGTGCTTGCCCTTGGCCGCATCTCGTCATCCCAGTGTCGCTCCCACGGGTTGCCAGGGTCCTGGGCCTTGCCGAGTTTTTCTGCTTGCTGGGTGTGCACTGGGGCCTCAGATGCTCAGTGAAGAGGGGTTAAGAGCAGGGGCCCTGGGGCTGCTGGGGCTGGTCCAGGAGTGGCCGGTGTCTCCGCCCCAGGGCCCTGTGCCCCGCAAGTCCTGCCTGCCCCATTCCCGCTCCACGGCTCTCCCCGCAGCCACCCAGCCCACTCCGGCAGGGCCATTAGAAGAATGGAGAGAAAGTCAGTCAGCCTTCTCAGACAGGTTCTCCCTGGAGCCCGATTCACCAGCCCTGAGTTGGGGACTGGCTGGGAGGGGGTCGCCACTCCACCCAGCACATCTCTGACTTCATCCTAAGTGAAGTTCTAGCTCAGAGGAGACGTTGATCAGTCTTCTCAGAAGTGAAGGGATGAAAAGCAGTGTCCAGGCTGCGTGTGGGGTTGGAGGCCTCTGAGCATCCCAGACGCTACAGGGAGGAGCCTGTGGCTAGGATGCCACGGCCGAGTGTCTAGAGTAAGGCCCAGCCATGACGCCGGCTGCTTGCACCAACACCACTGTCATCACCACATTCACCACCACCACCATCACCACCATCATCGCCATCATCGCCATCATCATCACCATCACCATCACCACCATCACCACCGTCACCACCACCACCACCATCACCATCATCACCACCACCACCACCACCACCACCATCACCATCACCATCACCGCCATTACCACCTCCACCACCACAACCACCATCATCATCACCATCACCATCACCACCATCACCTCCACCATCACCATCACCACCATCACCACCATCACCACCACCATCACCACCACCATCACCACCTTCACCACCACCATCACCACCACCATCACCACCTTCACCACCATCACCACCTTCACCACCATCACCATCACCACCATCACCACCATCACCACCACCATCACCACCACCATCACCACCTTCACCACCACCATCACCACCACCATCACCACCATCACCACCATCACCACCTTCACCACCATCACCACCATCACCCACCACCACCACCACCACCACCACCACCATCACCACCACCATCACCACCACCACCACCACCACCATCACCACCACCATCACCACCATCACCACCTTCACCACCATCACCACCACCATCACCACCACCATCACCACCATCACCACCTTCACCACCATCACCACCACCATCACCACCACCATCACCACCATCACCACCTTCACCACCATCACCATCACCACCACCATCACCATCACCACCATCACCACCATCACCATCACCACCACCATCATCACCACCATCACCACCATCACCATCACCATCATCATCACCACCATCACCACCATCGCCACCACCACCATCACCATCACCACCATCACCATCACCACCTTCACCATCACCATCACCACCATCACCATCACCATCACCATCACCATCACCACCTTCACCATCACCATCACCACCACCATCACCACCATCACCACCATCACCACCTTCACCACCATCACCACCGCCATCACCACCTCCACCCTCTGAGTCATCCAGGGGGCCCCCTACTGAGTTGTATGACCGGTGGTCACTTCATTACTTTGAGTGTTGACGTCATATGTCTATGAACTAGGTGGTGCTGAATTGAGTGATTTCAAGATTCTTTCCTGCTTCACCTTTTCCCGATCTCCTACACAATGTAAAGCTGAAAATTTCAGCGCAGACGGGCAGGTTAGGGAAAGGGGTGGTTTGGGGAAGTATACCTTGGAAAGGGACAGTATCACTTTTTAGCAGCTTTACTTACATTCCTTTAATCCATTCTAGTAGCTTCTGTTATCTTAGATTACTTTTTATAGCACATATTTCCTCTGCTAAAAAGACTTTACAGTGCTTCGGCGGGACGTGTGATTTCCCATTACAGTAGGTTTCTCAAATCATTCCCTTTGCAATTGTCACGTTTTACGGTCCTATTTAAAGTGAATTTAGTTTTCCAACTAAAAATATCAAGCTGAGTTGGAAATTGAATCCAAGAACTGTGAAGTGGAATGGTGGGAAGCAAGCCTCAGGCCCAGCCCTCCCCCTCGAGAGAGACCACAGGACGTCTCCGACCCCTGGCGCTGTCCCGAACCTGGGAAGGGGGAGAGGGCGTCCTTACAGGTCGCCGTTTATCCAGAGGTAAATGCCCGCTTGGTTAGGGCAGTTCTTCACCCTCCTTGCTCCCCTTAAATTGCTATTTCAGATTTGCGAACCTGACTCTTACATTACCCGAGCGTTTCATTACCTGCCCAGCATCTGGGTGGACGAGCCACACCGCAGTTAGACGCAGGTGGGAAGGCACAGGAGAGCCTCACGCAGTGACCTTCCACTGTGGCGCTTCCGGCCTCCCATGTGCCCTGCATGACACTCGCTCCCAGCGCCGCCTTCTCGCCTTCTCCCACGCAGCCAGCCCCACACGCCATGTCCAGGGTGCAGGTGCCACTGTCCCCAGCGGCAGGTGCACGCCCAGGTGTGTTGGCTTGAGAACACCTGACCAGCTGCCCCCAGCACCTGTCCCCAACTCGCTCCGCCGCTTCCCGACCCCGGGGCACCCCATCTGTGCCCCTGCCTAGGATCTGGCCCCAGGAGCCGGCACCGCGCAGCCTCTGTGGCCCAGCACTCGATCCAGGCCGGCCCTGCCCTTTCCCTGCCAGCGCAACGCTGTGCTATCCATGGCACTGGCCTGG